AAGGGGCCTTAGAAGGAAAAGGTCACCAACTTCATAGCGCGGGCCACAGCAACGATGGGACGTTGGTTCTAAGAAGTTAGATAGGGGTCAGGATGGGACCATCATTGGTGGGTGGCAGGACGGTAGAGGATGCCCCCGAAGTTCATGGCACGAGTTGTAGCAACACTGGGGAACTGCTTCCAGCAAGTCATTCAGAAGGGGTCACAGAGCATTGCTGGAGTATAAGCTGTATGTAGTGTGAGAAGAGAGCTTATAAGCATCAGTACCTGTTCGCATCCTTACTGTTCAGCCTGAACTTGAGCCGCGGTGCCCAAGAAACAATGGGCAGGGGTGTTGTGAGTCAAGTTATTTCATCTCTTAGCGATATGGTTGGGACTGATTCGACCGCTGAACTCTCGAGTTTCGACAAAAATCAAAAGCCCTGGAAGCTGCTTAACGAAAGTACTGCGATGTGAGGATATTTCACTATGATGTCCATGTTATTACCATCGAAACTCTTTCAACCGCTAAGCTGTCCTATTTCCAACGAATGGTGAATGTTTTTTTAAAGTGATAAGCACCAGACATTAGAAAATGTTCATTAAACAGGAGAAATATAATGAAATGGGTCGTATCTCAAAAAATGACAATTGGGCCAAGTGTTTGGGGTCAGTACAGAAATCCTGTCAGCGATCAGTACCATTACCATAGATTCAACCATGCGCGCAGTAGTGCGCGTCAGCCAAGCTGGTAGTCATATACGTTGGCTTGTTTGAACGAACTAGGGATGCATCAACAATTTTAAATTTAACTCGACGATGATCCGAAGTGCTAAATGGGGGCAGTGTACAAAGCCCAGCGATAATGGATGGTTCGGAAGTTAGCAGTATGTCCAATATATTCATCCCGTGCGTGGGTTCTTTTACCATTTGTGTAAGGTTGAATGAGCGGGCAAGATGGAGAAACGAGGAGGAAGCTTGCGTTGATACATTGCCTCTGTGGGCCATGTTGTGCCAATCAATCGTAGGGAAGTTGAAATCTCCCAAAATTACTACGTGATCCCTCCACTCGCTCAGAAAGCATTCAATATACTCGACAAAATCAGTAAACGAAGCGGTACTACATGATGGTCTTCTGTAGGTGAGGAAAGTGACCACTTTTTGGCTTTCTATGAGGAGTTAGGGGGTGGCGGTTTTAGCATAGCACTCGCCGATCCTCCTTTGCGTAGCTCAAGTTAAGTTCGAG